TGTTTCGGCCTTGTCATGTTTCTTATCGGAGCTTGGTTTGTTTTCTCCCTTCTCCCTGCTCAGTTGGGAGCATCATAAAAATCTATGCTGGTTGTCTTCTGCAGCCAATGCATGCCATCTAATCTCAGCTGAGCCCGTAATGCTGTGTTTAAGCAATTCTTTCATTTTTCTCTTTTCGTCTACCTCTTATATTTTTCACATTTTTTCCCATCACATGTCAAGGTTTCTTTGCATTGAAGAAGTTATGTTTCTCTGAAAAGATTGTATCATACAGTCATACATATCCTTTTATTTCAAAAGCTTAATGTTGTTGCTTCAGTAATTTCCTTTTGCTTACATCACCACCACGCTCTTTTCTACCAGGTTCCCCCAGTGTATAAATAAAGTGTGTGTGTGTGTAGTGTGTGTGTGTGTAGTGTGTGTGTGTGCATGTACCCCTAGTCCCCACCTATGGCTTTGCTGGTTTCTCTCTCTTTCTCTTTAGTGCTGATCTTCCTGGAAGAGATGTTTGGGCCCCTTCATCCTCCTGTGTGACCCCGTCCACTCGCGGGTGTTGACCCCACTTCCACCCAACCAGTGATCGCTGACTTACAGTCTCATAGTAGCATCTCAGTCACTTCTCGTATCGGTCAGTGTACATGCAGCTTTTGATGTTTTTATGACCGTACTACTTTTGTAATCAGGAAAGAGCTAACTTTTTTGTAGAAATAAATATGGTATTTTTTAAAGGTAAATAGCACCTCCTCTTCCTTTAAACATTCTCTTCCATGGGCTTTTGCATTCCATTGGCTTTCCTTTTTTTTTTGTACTGGCTTCTCCTAGTCCCCATTATCATTTTATCTTTTATTTTTTTAAAAAGTAAACATTCCCTAAGGCATTTTTTGCCTTTTCTTGCCTTTTCTCTTCTGGCCTTTAGTATTCTCAATCACTGCCATTACTTCAACTATCGTGTCTATTGAAATGATTCCCAAATGATTATCTCTGGCTGATTCTTGACTGTTTTACAGACCATACTTCCAACTGCTCCTGGAGAGTTCTGTCCAGCTTCAACTTGAGCATGCCCGATTTGGACTTAAGTTCTTTCTTTACCTGTCTCCTGCTCTCCCACTTCTACTCTTTTTGTGTGATGGGTATCTGCTTGCACACAAACACACACTCCGCCCGTTCTCTTTCTATTTATGGTGCAACCTTGTTCATGTCTTCCAGGGCAGAAGCCTGGTCATTTTTTACTCGTTTTCCTTTATTACCACATTCAATTAATTGCTGAATCAATGTATATTTGGTTTTTATAACATCATTTGACTACATTTTCTCCTTTTAGTTTGCACTACTTCAGTCCTAAGTCAGGATCTCATTGCCTATGACCTAATGTCCTAAACTATTTCTGAAACCCAAACTGTTTTTCGTAGCACCTAGATTATATCTGTCCGTTGACCTAAAATCCTCGGAGTCCCACAGATCAATGTTAGTGCATCAGCCTATCATTCTAAGGCTTTTAGCAGTGTGGCCCCAAGGTACTCTTTGATCTTATTTCTTGCCAGCTCTGTACATGTGCTCCACAGACCTTCCAGGTCCCTTCTTCTTTACCTTTGTTCGTCTGTCTGTCTTCCCCCACTGTGTATGCTGCGTACCCCCATCTTACCCTCTTGCCAGTGTCCTCTTTTTCCTGAAGCTTTCACTAATCAGATATGACTGATTGAAAAAAATCTTTAAGTATGAGTAATATTTTTGTATTTTGAGACTATTTTGTATCTCTTTTAGGACACTCTACCGTGTACTGTAGTTATTTAAGTTTATTTTATTGCGTCATTAATCTCTAACCTACATGTTTATAGTTTTAGTATCTTATTAATATTTACTGAGTAGAAAAAGTACTAAACAAAATATTATAAGGTCTTGCTAGCTGTGTGACTTTGAGCAAGTCATTTTACCTCTTTGAGCCTTAGTTACTTAATTTGTGGGAGTCAAGTGAGATGATAATATATATATTATATATAATAATATATATTGTATATATTTATAATTATTATATATATATATATAAAATGTAAAATTTTCTCTATGGAAGTTTTTCTCTCCAGTGTGTTTATCATTTATTTATAATGTTTCCAAGATACAATACTGACAGCAAAGTTTCAGTTATACCAACCACCACCATAATTGCCCTCAGGGAGAAGCTTGGTTGAAGGGTAAGATTATCGTTAGTACCAAGCAGAAATTTAGGAGATCTGGACACGGAAACAAGGCAAAGCAGATCCTAAAATAGAGAACCAGATATTGACCTGGAAGAATTAACTTAATTAGCCACCATTTTTCTCTGTTTAGGGCTCAGGGCTTTTCTCTAGTTCCTGGAGGCAGAGTCTGATCTCAGTGTGATGGGCTCAAGCTCAGGCAGTTAATTATGAGTACGTGTTCTTTGGCTCCCTTTCTGTGGAAATACTAATTGGGCCCTATGTTATTATTATGAAATTGGTTTTATAATAATGACCTGGGGTTTGGGGATAGTGAGTGCCCTTCTCACTGTTGAGAGTTGGAGACCACTTAGTCAGAGATTGTAAGTCATTCCCGGTGTGGACTAGAGGAGTCCATGGGCTCGGATTTCGCCCTGTGAAGTGACTTCTGATCATCAAAGAAGGGCCAGATTCTATTTGCTGTAATGGTGAGGGTTTGTTATATTAGTTTAAGGCTTGGAAAATTAATAGACCGTGTGTTAATAAATACATGCAGGAAAGAATTGGCTCTTGTTGTTTTTCTCACCTCATACATGGACACCTCTTTTAACCCACTCTTTGAGCTTCCATTCCTAACACTCTACTGAAAATAATAGTCTGGGTCACGTGTAACATCCATTTTGCCAGGTAGTCAGTCTCTTCTCAGTTCTGGACCTTTCAGTGTCTTTAAATGAGTGTGTTTGACCTTCTCCTTCAGACATTTTCTTCTCTGCACATCTCTGTCACCACAGTCTCCTTGTTTTTCTGCTTCCTATTGGCTGTTCCTTTTCCAGAGCTGGAAGATAAAAGCTGGAATATGAAGGATATGGACTGGATCTAGAGAATATGTTCAGAGTAATTAGAACTGCTCCTGGTACATTCCTCAGTGAGAAGATTTTTTCTTAGTTTTATTTACATGTTAGTGATGGGTATTTGTTACTCATCTGTCATAAAGCTGATTTTTCCAAACCTTCAGTATAACTCATTTTTAGGGGGAAATACTACTTTTCTGTCTTGTCTTCTTACTAACTTACTTAGATTCTAGTAGTTAATTGTTCATACTGAATACCACAGAGTGATCCTGTGGAACTTTGGACGTAATAAAATTGGGTGAGCTCCAATAGCAAAGAAGAAAGTATTAACTAATTTAATTAGCAAATAAGTGTTTCCTAGCCTGATGTACTATTCAGATTTTTGTTATAAGTTTGTGAATAAATTAAACTGCTCCTGCTCTAGAGACTTAAGTCAGATACGTGATTGTGGGAATATTTTTCTTTCCCACACCACTCTGCATTTTAAAAATTCTTCTGTGGGAAGATCCCAGCATGCTATAGCTGTTCTTCCGTATGCAGCTCATTTTCCCTGGAGAGAGGCAGGAGAAAATCCAAGTCAAGCTTTGCCTAGTCTGATTTCATGTCACTTCGAGAGCTACTTCTGTTAAATTGTCAGTAAATATTCTAATCTAGGAAATGGGAGGGAGTAGGGAATAGGAAGGGGAGAAGAACAAATTCTTAGCACTAGTAGGAGCACTAATGAATATGTGATTAATTATTCTATATAAATTGCAATATTTTCTCAGAGAAGCTTTTGGAAGTATGGTGTGTGTGTAAATATATATATATACATATATATATCTCAAATATACTCAAGAGAATTGAAATCATACGTTCATACAAAAACTTGTTCTCATGCAGCATTCATATGCATTTATATGAATGTTTGTAGTGGCATTATTCATAGTAGCCAAAGGGTGAAAACATTCCAGATGACTATTAACTGGTCAATGGATAAACAAAATGTGGTATATCCATACAGTGGAATATTATTCAGCCATAAAAAGTAATGAAGTACTGATATGTGCTACAAGGTGGAAGAACCTCAAATACATTATGCTAGGTGAAAGAAGACAGACACAAAAGTCCACACACTGTATGATTCCATGTGAAATGTCCATAATAGGCAAATCCATAGAGACAGAAAGTAGATTCGTGGTAGCCGGGGTGGGGTGGGGTGGGGTGGGGGAGAATGCAATGTCTTCAAAGGGTACAAAGTGTCTTTTTGGAGTGATGAAAATGGTCTGGAATTTGATAGTGGTGTTGGTTGCACAGCTCTTTGAATATACTAAAAACCACTGACTTGTATACTTTAAAAGGGTGAATTTTATGGTATGTGTATTATATCTCAAATTTTTAAAAAATGTGTACTAAGAAACTAGATTGTTTGGTTTACCCTAAAAGCATCAGGCCAGTATTTCATATTATATAGACCACATCAGCTCTTACCTCAGATGTTGTACACAGTGGGGGTCATTTAGGTAATCCACCACATCCATCTTTATTTGAATAGAAATAGAACCAAAAGAATCATGGACTAGGAGTCAGAAATTATGAATTGTACTCCTGAGTCTTGAGTGACCATAAGCAAGATGCTACCACCTTTATTCTGTTGCCAGAAATGAGGATAATAATATTTGCCCTTTTCAGGGTTTACCAAATTGAAGGGTTTCTGATAGATCATAAGTTCTTGAGGGCCGGTTTTCTGACAGCCTCCCACAGTGTCTTGTTATGTGTAGATGTTTAATAAATATGTATTAAATGAATGTTGATTTAAACAGAGAAAGTCATGTAAGAGTGCTTTCTAAACGTACAGTTCTATAGATGTGAGATTATGGCATTAATATATTCTGATCTGTCTATTTCTGGAAATTTAAAGACAGTTTAGGTGTTATATTCTATTACCAAGCTGTTTTGTAACTAATTTAGGGCTGCATTGAATCAACTTCTTTTCTAGGCCTTCCAGTATTAAAACATGTGCTGACGCCAAGAATAAAGGCAACCCATGTTGCTTTTGATTCCATGAAGAGTTATTTAGATGCAATTTATGATGTTACAGTCGCTTTTGAAGGGACTGTGGACAATAAAGGGCAGCGCAAAGAAGCGCCATCCATGGCTGGTAAGTTTGTTTTCAGTTGAGTCACATATATTTATGAATGTGTAATTCATTTTTAAAAAATAGGTAAGTGTACTCTACTTCATTACATTTACTTGATATTTTATCCAGGTAAGTATACTGGATATATTTTCAAGTATTTTTTATTAATCTTTAACAGTTTAAATTTCATTAGTCCTGCTAAGTTTAGTATCTCTTGGCTGCCATGTTAGTCCTTTGGACTCGCCCATTATTACTAACTCAGCCTGTCTACCCAAAGTTTACATGTAGAAATGGAAAGCTACATGAGTCGAAGGAGTGAGGAGGGGGAGTGCTAACCTATTGAAACTGAAGGGTGCACTGATGGTCAGTGCTCGTCTTTATATGTATTTTTCACATAATATTTATGAAATTTAGTATCATTGACAAGAAGACAGTTAAGTATGACTTTTTCTTTTTTCAAATGTGCTAGCTTTTAAGGACTTTTGAGCTATTGTCTATGTGTATGTCAGATATAACAAGAAAAAGTAAAATTGTAAGTGAGCATAATATTTTAAACATAACCAAAACACTCTTGACTGTTGGAGAAATTTAAACATGAGAATAGGTAAGCAAGGAAGTGTGTGGAGTCGCCATCTGCTTTTCACAGTGTCTGTTCGTGCTGTGGTGGAGAGAGAG